GCAACCAAATCTCTATGTACAGTGAAATAAAATTAATCAGGGAGTTGATTGTTAAAATTACACTGCTCGGAATAGTCGGGCAAGCTGAAAGGAATACTTCGTCGATTTTTCCAATAGTCAGACTTATTGATCTCTATCATCAACGAAAACCAATATTTACGGTACGAAATTCTGTTTGGGCATTTTATTTTATAACCACGCTCAAACGATCGTTACACGTATCGCGATACCTGAAAACCATTTAACCCTTTGCACTCGATGTTTCTTCGTTACAGGAAAATAGGAATTCAAAGATTTTCTGTCATAAAGTCAACGATATTTTTAAAACCGTAATTAAAAATTTCTAGATAAATTAAAACTTCGACATTCCACATCTCATTGGGTAATTTTGAATTTGATATATTAATTAACATTGATCTTCAGAATCAGATTAAATGACAACTGAGGATCCCTCCTCGGGTACAAAGGGTTAAGACGAAATCTTAGAAATAAACTCCTTATCGACGATCACGTTTCCCTTCACCCCTTTACTCGCCACGAAGTGTCAAAAAATCCCAAAATATCCAAAAAATTTAACACCTATCTATGAATCCTCGAGAATGGACCATAACCATCCACAAATATACACACAATGGAGAAAGGAACATAAACTGCGACAATCGTATACTCATCAGCTGGTTTCCAACCATTGGATCATGGATGGGCATATCCATCCTCATCAATGCGTTTCCCTTCACCCCTTGTACGTGTAAAGAAAGCCGGAAAAATCGCAAAACGTGGCAAAACAGCCGAACGATTAATCACCCATCGACGAATCTTGACAAAAGGACAGTGGATTGAATGGAAGAACGAGGGGTGGAAGCGAAAGGGATATCCGGAGACACAGCGGGGACTAGAAGGGGCGGGAAAGTGGCATAAATGTTTCAGAATCGCGAGCATCTGTCGTCCGGGGGACTTTTTCAGTTGCCGAAGAGAGCTCGTTTTTGGAGCTGCTCAGGAAGGCGAAGAGCAAGCAGAAGGAAGCGGAGAAGGGGGTTTACTATCCTCGTATAATGTATTATAAGTGGAGGCACTCACAGGGCCGTCACTACCAAACACTCAAAGCCCTCCACCCCGCCTTCTCTAGCTTCTATCTACTGCTTCGTGTCTCTCTCCCCTTTCCATCCACCCCCGTCGATCCTCCAACCCCCCAGCTTCTCCGTGCGCCCCTCCAGCTGCCTTCTCTGTACACTCCGCTTTCGAGTTATCGATAAGAACCGCAGACCTCTTTTGTTGGTTGATAGATAGCCTTTCAAAGCGACGCGAGGTCAAATATTCGACATGCCGCCGGTTCAATTTCGTGCCAATAATATCTATGCGAAATAAGGGCCGGAAGCCAACCACCGTGCAGCTATTCGCCGCGTTTTCAGACCAAACTTCCTCCACATCTAGGCGTGCTGCTGAAGAAAATGTTGACGTTTCGAAATGAGCTTTGTCAACTTTGCCGAAGCCTTTGTTTCGCGTACAGCTTTCGGTGATGGTTTTCAAGTTGCAGTATGGTATCTGGAGTTATCTGTAGGGGTTGGTGAGTCAGTCTGGGGATGAAGTCGTTACTGTATTTCTTTCTTTTCGTTCATAGAACATAGAATATTTTCTTGACTGCTGCATCGGTTATTTTTGTCGACTGATTTTTGTGTACGCGTATAGTGGGGGTTTGGGAAAAGGGGGGTAAGGAAGATTAATACAGATTTGAACATTTTGCATAAGGTATGACGAGTAAGGGTGATTTAACCCTTTGCACTCGGGAGGTGACTCTCAGTCACCATTTGATCAGATTCTAAAAATCGACGTTAATTAATAAATCAAATTTAAAATTACCTAACGATGTGTGGAATGTCCAAGAAAAATAATTCTATGTCTTAATTTGCATATGATTTCTCATTTACCATTTTAAAAATATCGTCGACTCTATGACAGAAGGTCTTCGAATTAGTATTTTTCTGTAACGAAAAAGTCGTCGAGTGCAAGGGGTTAATTATATTGTTATAATATTGGAGTTGTATCTGATAATAAATATCAGTCGAATAGGAAATATAAAATCTGACAATCATCGAGAACACGCGAGAGAAATTCGATAGAGTTCGTGATTTAAAGGGATGCTGTGAACTGCCTCGTCGATATTGCGAGTCCTTCGTAGATTAATATTATAGGATTTTTCTACTGAAGTTAAGTTCGAGGCTCTTCAAAAGAATCTTTGACGTAGAATACATCTATGAAAGTAGTTAAGAAGCTTAATTTAAGGAATTAGAAAACAAATAGAAAGTTATCCTTTGTCAGAATGGAAAGAGGGAAGCTAGTAGCCTCGTATTTAGTAATCGAGTACCATTTACAGAGAAATGCCGAGAGACTAAAATTTTTGGTTCCAGAGACGTAAACTTGCAGGAGAATGCAGGAAAAGATAAATTGGAGATATTTCCAGTTAAAGGATAAACGTTCGTTTAATACTCCTGCAAGTATATGAATTCTAAAAGAACCAGTTTACATTTTTACTATTACGATGCTGATTAAATCTTTACAACGTTACGAAATTCGCACGGAAACGAAACATGCCTAAATTTCGAAATGAATTTTCGATTAATTATCGGTTTAAAAAATTCCGAATATTTTGAATTCGACGAGTTCGTAGAAATTTTAGCTAAAGATCCGCGATTAAACGAACAGGATGGAGGATTAAATCCGTGGTAACATTCGATTAACCCTAATCGAAACGGGGAAACGCAAGAGGGTGGAACAAATATAGCTGCTGCTATTGTAAGATAAGTGACGCAATTGGGACCAGTCGTATTTTCTGTTTAAGGCAGAAAAAACAGGCGGGAAGAAAAATTGTACGGCGAAACAAAGTTTATCTTCCTATAACACGTCTTCCTGCATCACATTTTTCGCCAGTGCAATGTTACGTAATTACGCGCTTTTTCCCCGCGTGCGTTTGTTTAATAATTCGAATTTTTTAATGTTCCCCCGGAACTGATAAAAGTAGTTAAAAAATAACCGGCTCAAACGACGCGGGAAATTTCTAAATAAATCACTACTTTTACGCATTTCCCTGCTCCAAAGTTAATCTGCCGGCCAACTTTTCATTTTTAAGTTTACTATGCTAACAAATTAATACGAATACACGGAATGTAATATAAATCCCTCGGAAGGTGCATTTTTAAAAATCCCGGATATCTCGCGAAGCGTTCTCTTTCGCGAAATTTTAATTCACCGATCTACACGTGGAATGGTAAAAAGAATCAACTTGCTTTAAGATTTACGTATAACTCTCTCCGAAAGAAAGAAGAAAAATAAATAGTGAACGCTGGATATACAGGATGGGTCATTACATATTGTCATCTAGATGTGTGTCATTATTATTACGCATAGCGAAAAATGTTTCAAAAATGAGGCATATTCTGATGATCTAGCCTTTTTGTAGATGGACGTGTAAAGGACGTGTAATATGAAAGTCATTAATATTTTTTTAAATGGAATCATATAGGTTTTATTACATCAGCTGATGCTTCTTCATATTCTTTACAAAAAAGTATTAGTCTATTTATGTCAAAAAATCATTAGTTTAGGATATTTTAATAATATTTAAAAATTGAATATAAATATTACTGAATAATATTACTAATAGGTTAGAAGATTGTATGGCCTCAAATATGTCGAACCTTTTTATAGTGTACACTTTATACTATCGAAAAAGTCGTATCAGTGCCATTAAAGTGTAAAGGACATATTCAGGTTATTAATGTTTTTTTAAATGGAATCATATATTTTTTATTATATCAGCTGATGCTCCTTCATATATACAAAAAAACTAGTACTATCAGAATATGCTTCTCTTTCAAAACTATTCAACTTCATCCGAAAAATGTTTCGCTATGCGTAATAATAATGGCATATATCTAGATGACAATATGTAGTGATCCACCCTGTATAGTCGATGATGAAAACCGAAGAAAATTTGCTATCGTGTATAAATTCTTCTGACCCTTTGCACTCGACTCTCCCTCTTCAAGGAACATCGTAAATCATGCAAATAATTTGAATATCTTCTAAGTGAACAGGAAAAAATTATAGTTAATTACATAGGTTGGAATTATGAAAAATATAATTTGCCTACGATATATTTTTAATACAATTTTGCTGCAGTGAAAACAAAAATATGGCTAGTATAACAAAGCCCTGTAACAAATAACAAATAGTAAATATGTATCAGCAATTAAAGGTTAACCGACTGTCCCTTCTCAAAGAACATCGTTAATCTACCAAACAAGTTAAATACCTACCAAGAGAACGCGAAAAAATTATGGTTAATTACATAGATTGGAATTATGAAAAATATAATTTGTTTACGATATATTTTTAATACAATTTTGCTGCAGTGAAAACAATAATATGGCTAGTATAACAAAGCCCTGTAACAAATAACAAATAGTAAATATATATCAGCAATTAAATGTTAACCGAAACACCGCTCGACTAAAGTAATTGGTCCCAGCTCTGTACCATTTTATTTCAACCGATTTATTCCCCGCATGCAAACGACATTCTCGCGTTTCAAACCAATTAATCGACTTTTAATTCCGCTCTAACTTCGTTTTCAATTTCGCTTTCGATCTCTACAAAGACACCGAACTCGGTCCCAGTTGCGCGACTTACACCCAAAATTCGGAGTCGATCTCCGTACGCAGGAATTGCTGGTTCACCGAGATGCGAATGCAGAAGCAACATAGGTGAAGAGAAATTTGATAGAGATAGTTAGAAATTGGAGCATCTTTCGTGTCCGTGACGGAAACTGTCCGAGTTCGTCCCGGGAGCGAGCTGTACGCGCATCTGTTTAGCAATTAAGGCATTAGAGCACCGAGCCTGTGCATATTGTTAGAGATAAGCGAGGCCGGTGCCGTGCAAGCGGCGCCGTGCACGTGAGCTGGAAAAAAGGCGCAGCGTGTTAAGAAATGGGTTTGTGAGGCCAGGTGGCGTGGATCAAAGCGGACACCAAGGCGGTCCTGGCGATTGACGAGCACGTGATCACGAACAACGCGCGTTTATCAGTAACACACAGCGACTACAACACGTGGACGTTGAACATCCGTGGGGTACGCCGGGAGGATCGAGGCATTTATATGTGTCAGGTCAACACGAATCCTATGAAGAGTCAGGTACGAAAAGACTATCCTTCGCAGTGGCAAGGGTACGATAAAGGGGCGAAGAAGGAAGGAAAGGCGAGAGACGAGGCGAGAGGGATGGACTGAAGAAGGGGGCGGGAAAGGGAGCTTTCGCGTGGAGGGCATTCGTTTTAAAGCGAAATCCGTTCTGCGCTGCCTGGAACTAGCGTTTTCCACTGGCCAAATTATGGGGCGGAATTATGTTCCAAAGTTTTCGCGGGTTTCCTTGTATACAGGGTGTCCGAAAATTGGATAGAAAAATCCGCGTATACTCGTATCCGGAAATAGTTTATCCAAGTGTTACAATACGTTTCTGGACACCCTGTATATCGTCAGAGAAAATATCATCGATGATATATCGCGTGATTTATCCGGATCTAGGGATTAAATTGGTAATTCTAAATGAAAAGAAACTTTTATTTTAAGGGTAGTGTGATGTGATCATACCTTATCTGTGACTGTAAAAAAATACGATATATCGCGTATTTTAAAATTCTGAACATCGATAGATCTTATTACCATTCGATTCAATTGCATGATTTGTTTGAAGATACAAAATTTATGGTCTCCTTAATTAATGAATAAATTAAATCAACATTTCTTACAACCACGAATATTAGATTGGTCAATAACTATTATCAGATTTTTGCAGTAATTCATGCTGTCTTTATTTTTATCCCTAAACACTGTCCTTAATATCTACAAATTCAAGTACAAGTTAATTTATTATAACAAAATTCACCCAGCTAATTTTAAAGAAAATTATAATATTGATAAAATTATAATTTAAAGAAAATTATATTATCTCGTTGTTTTTTGGCCAACTCGATATTTCGTATTTTAAATATATTTTAACAAATTTAAGAGAGAAATTCCGAAGTATTTTAAAATTTTCATCGCACACAGCTGTAATACGCGTTTCTTCGTCGATTCCATTTCGCTTCTCTCGGACAAATCGTTTTCCTTCCTTGTTACACCATTCCAAACTATCGCAGAACGTAACCACTGATTCATCCGTGCATTGAATTTGCAGAGCGCGTTTCTGGAAGTGGTGATACCGCCGGACATAATATCCGAAGAGACCTCGAACGACCTAATGGTACCTGAGGGTGGATCCGCGAAGCTGGTATGCAAGGCTCGCGGCTTTCCAAAACCTGAGATCTCATGGAAGCGAGAAGATGGCGTCGAGATTATTTCCCGTGTCGGAGCGTCCGGCAGTAAAACGAAAAGTGAGTATAATTCAACAGACAAAATCGTGATTACTGCAATTATATTCGGTTTTCCTATTGGGTCGTTATGCCACCTGCTATCGCTTTATAATTCGTATTAATCAGGTACCTGTGCATTATAGATCGGTGCTTCTAGCGTTGAATAAATTTGCATAATTATCGAATATTCTATCGAAAACGTTTACACGTGATTCGCGTAACTGATCAATTTTATTTTATTCTACTTTTTCCTCTCTTTCTTTTCCCAAATCGCTGTAGAAGCTTCGACAAATGTTTCTGTATGAAATATTATACCAGCAATTTCGAAGACGAATTTCGATCAGCACGTGATTCAGCAGTCAATGGACGGTAAATAAAAGGGAAATTTATTCGATGCCGTGTACCGGGATCGATTCGGGTATAAAAGATCGAGAAATGACGATGTCAATGATGCGTGTATAATATGATAATATATTCCCGATATAAGCAGAGCGGCTCGTAAAACAGCAGATTGAAATCGAGAAACGGGGATAATATCGGAATTGAAGTCAATTCGTCAATGTCTCGCCGTGCGTTTAAATTCATAAATCATATCCTTTTTTGGGAAAGCTCCGCTGCTCTCATCCACGTCAACCAAAATTTCGCAGAGCAAACAACGAGCATTGGCTTCCAGGATCCGTCTAAAATACCGACATTTTGTTTCTCTTGAAAATTATAAACGCTATTATACGCAGTTCGGAATTATTATCTTTCGTTTTAATTTTCATGCTGCTTCGAGAAATTTAAGAGACTTTCCAATTTTTATACCCGACTTGAATCAGCAGAATATGCAAAATCGATAGAATATGCATTCTTGCAAGAATTAAAATATGCATTCATCAAACCTTCAATTTTTTGGCAATAGTATCTGTTCGTTTAAAAACCAGATTTTAAATCTCTAAGCAAATTGTTTATATCGGCTATATATGTTGATGGGTGGATGAAATATTAATAACAATAAGAACAATTCTTTATTTAATTATAAAATATGATCAAACACAAATATTATTATTATTGTCGGATTTTTGGCTAAGTTAATCCTATGCAGACAGAGTTCTGCGTGTCTAATAAACAACAACTCTCTTTTCATAACAAAGCTGGTTTTACTTAACTAAAATATTACACTAAGTTTCTCACAGGATCCTCTATTCAATACGTCTCTGCCACACACATTATTTCACTATTATATTATATTACATATTTTCACTATTGCATCTCAATTACAACTGACCTATGCTCAGTCTCTCTGGTTTGTTCTTTCTGCTTTCATACACGATTCACATACCTCAATTATTACACACACACTCATTTATCACGATAAATTCTGGATTCATTAGATATTGGCATCCCATGCATACTTGTCCCACTCATCCCTTTCTTAAAGCATCGCTCCTTTATTATATCAACACATATGTACACATAAGTGGTATAAATCACTTATATTTGCTTCTGAAATATTAAAAGCTTCGGCCTTCAAATACGCCATAAATTATAAAATTAATTGCGATAAAGCTGCAAACTCAATCTAACTATTCAATTCTTCCCTGTTTTGTAGAAAATAAATATATTTTATCATAGTATAAATGAATACAACACGAAATAAATAATAAAATCGTTCCTCTTAACCACTTGCGCTGAAAAGACGTGCTATACACGTCGTATTGCTTTTATCGCAGAATCGCTAACAACGTGGTACATACGTCGTAGTCAGACAATTGTCACAGAAATATTGTATCGTTCTAGCACACGTGTCTGTGAGTTTATTGGTTGCGCAAGTGGTTAAGTCGATGACTTGGACCACTGTCATAATTATAAGCACATATATATTCAAAATCTATGTTAATCATTACCACGATATCGGCATTTACCATACGTAACCTATATTCTTTCTCTCCCTAACAAACCGATGTATTTTTATTTTTGATTTATACACTACTGCCCGTAAATTATTATTAAATAAATAAATTTTCCGCAAGGTAATTCAATATCTCGAATGGAATAATTAATCTGCCTGATCTTACGTCCAATCGATTATCGAAAATCCTTCCAGTACGAAATTCCAAGCTAAAATTTCACTGCAGGTACTATTTCCTGTTTTCGCGATTGGAACAGAGAAGTCGCAATTGGATATGGAGTTAATAGGAAGTCGATGTAACATTCGATAAATTAAAAAATTCCAACGTCCTCCCTTTTCCCTATGTCGCAAACTTTTCCACGCTGGCGCTGCTTTGCGCCTGTAATTTTCGCATATTTTCGCACTCGACTGATGCGAAATCGATTTGGAAGTGTAAGGTACACGACAATTCCGCCGTCTATTCGATTCGCCGGCGAAACGAGACCGTCATATTTCGAAGCTTTCCTTCGCGCTTGCACCGAATCACGCAAATATTCCGCGCGATACTTATCGCAATGACGGCTTAAGTAGAACGCCGGCAGCCGGCGAACCGACGAATAATTTGATGAATTCTGAACGAGGAAATAATTCTCAGACTCGACGTGACCGTGATAAGCGACAAATAAATTAAGGAAACGATTACACGCGCCCCTTTGCTCGCATGATACGCTGAAAAAGGTTGTTCCTTTTGCAATGGTTTTGTTAGATTGCTTATGGGGTCACGCGATGAGGATACATTCTCGAGTCATCATAAAGAAAATCGTAAGCAAATTCTTGCATCGTTTTTGGAACGTTTCTTTCAAACATTCTTCGCCATTTTATTTTCCCTTTTCTTGTGTATGCACAAGGCTTAGAGCGTGGAAAATAATTTGGAAAGGGAAGATCTGAATGGAATAAACTCGAGGTACTAGCATTGTACCTCGTAGAGCCCTTCAATTTTATTTTCATTTTTGGATCGTTTCATCTGTTGAATTCGCATGTTTTATGGAGGAGAACTCGAGTGTACATTTTTCAGGAATAGTTCCAATTCGATGGCAAGATCGAGTTTCGGGAGACTTATGGCGCGACGGTATCGTTTTGAAGAACACGTCTACTTTCGTTTTATCTTCCCTTCGACATTTTTCCAAGTCGTTTTGGTTGTTCAAACGTGGAATTTTTCTACTTCGTAACTCACGTCACGGGAAAATGTACGTTTCATGACGATCGAATGTTTTTTAATTCTTCGAAATTACAATTTTATTGCCACGTGATTCAATTTTCAACCAAATTTGTATTTTCCGCGGAGAAGTTGTACGAGTAAAGGACTAAATCTCGAGGAAAATATATCCTACCCTTTTACGTTAAAAAGAAATCAAGCTTCGATTTATATTACAAAAATTCAAAAATAGTTATATTAAGAAATCCAAATGCACCTCGTGGATAAATTTATTTACACAAAAATTGCCCTATATTTCCTTTCACAGGAGGCGAAGGAAATTTTCCAAGAAGGGCTAAATAAAAAGAATACATTATTCTATAAAAAGTCATGAAAAGCCAAACCTACCTGTAATATGAAAAACTAAAAATATACCTTTAAAAGGAATACACGATAAAAATAAATTTCCTTTCAGGGAAGAAAAAGAAAAATTTCGAAGAGAGAGTAAATACAAATACGTGATTTTTCCAATCTTTTTCTCTCCATTTTCCCGGTAGAAAAATCCTAAAATGTTATGAAAAATAAAAGCTACTCGTTATATGAAAAATCAAAAATATTCCTTTAAAAAGAATTGCATAATGAGAATAAAATATCTCCCTCTAGAAAGGAAGAAAAATTTTCGAAGAGAAGGGTGAAGAGTAAAAGGAAACACAATTTTCCAACCCTTTCCTCTCGGCACCCTCACAGGGGAGTCGCTAAAAATTGGTTTTTAGCAGGAACAAGAACGGGCAGGTATTAAACACGATGGTGCGTAAACCTCTTCTAACAAAATTCCCCATTTCGTCAGGGAACTGTGATTCGCAAGCGAAGGTGAAACTGCATTTTCACCCCCTGGTGTTCGCTTACACTTCATGGGGAGCTGGGGCGCGCAGTATCGACGCGTTGAATTGAAAGGGACGATAGCGGGACCTTAAGCTTCGTATCGTACCTAATCCAGTGTGTTTGATTAGTAATCGAACCAATTCGATTATTTACCCGATAGGGTTAAACGATTCAGGCGTGTAAGTAGCTTTCCATTGACATCGAGTTTCAATTGAAGCATTAAACTTTGCACGTGGACTTCCTGAAATTCTATAGCCTTCGAAGAGTATCGCTTGCGTTCATCTTAAATATAAATCGCTGCTTGCATTCGCGCCATTGCATGTGGTCTCCTTGGTACTTCCACTTTTAGTGTCGCTAAGTAGTAATATCAACGATTGCCGCGCCGGAGTCCTTCGCGGGATGTATCGAATTTTTAGGAATTTTCGGAAAAGTGGAAGAATTTGGAATTTACGAATAAACGGGTTTAAAAAGAAGTTTACTTGGAAGAGTCTGAATTTCTGATTTTTGGAAATATATTTTTGGTACCGAGGAAATTAAATGTTCCCATTTTAATGCATACCTTAAAATTTATACGAAAATTTTAAAATTTGTTTAATAGGGAAACGGTAATATTAAAAATAATATTTAAATATACCCCATGATTTTATTGAATAATAGTACCTCCTATATATGGACGAATAATCCAATTGATTGTCTGAATAATGTTCAATTTTGATATTAGTAATACTGTGCGATTCACCCGAGGAAATAAATCGTAATTTGTATAAATTGTATATAGAATTTAAAATATTAATTTTGATTTCAGGAAATTGCATCAATCTTTATAAACTACTATATTTTTTAACTTATCCAAGCTTCATATTGATATACCAAAAGCAAACTTGCAGAAGTTATTCGATGGAGAAATCCTTCGAGTCAGCAAGAAAATTATTTGCACGGGTTCGAGTTGTGACCATTTCGTAGCCAATTATACTGTTTAAGAATAATTAAAACTTCGGGTAGAATATTCTACTTTCGTTTTCCAACGAACAGACCACTGGCGAATTTATTTTTCAAAAACCGACTTTCTCGTGTACCACTCTGTTTAAAAAATTCAGAAAGTTCCTATTAAAGCAGTATATTTAGTTCCCAAGCAATTTATCCACCAAAAAAACGAATCTGCATAAACTCGATATCGATCGCTATACTATTCATGAAATTTAATAAATAATTCCAATTTGTGGTAATGGTTACATAGATTTTTAAATATATATATGTGTTGACATAATAAAGGACGAGCGGAATAAGTATGCATGGGATGGCAGTATCTAATAAATTCAGGTTATCGTGATAAATGAGTATGCGTGTAATCATTGAGGTGTTGTGTGAATTGTGTATGTAATGTAACGTATGAAAGAAGAAAGAACAAAACGAGAGTGATTTGGCATAGGTCAGTTGCAATTGAATTTTAATAGTGAGAAGAAGTGTGAGCATGTGATTGTGATAAATTAATTATATTTAAACTTGATATTTGTGTTTGATAATCTTTGTAATTAAATAAAGAATTGTTCTTATTGTTATTAAAATTTCATCCACCACTAACACAATTAACAATTTCTCCCACAACTAACTTATTTAAAAGTACAAGAATATTAATTATATTATTTATTTATATTATATAATTATTAAGAATATTTTACTTAAAAATAAAAGAATATTCCTTCATTTTTTTAAATCAACAGAACTCTCGCGAATTTATCTCTCAAAAATCATCTTTTTCTGTATCCATACTGTAGGATGGCGAAAATTGGTTTTGAGACACCGAAAATTGACAAAACAGCAAGAACAGAATGACACAAACTCGAAACTCATAAAACTAATTTAACTTAGGAAAAGGACACCAAGATAAGGAAACGAAAACACACAAAGACGCACTCTAATTTAACTCTTTCCAACACCAAAGAACTCATGCTCGTGTTGGTCACACTGATTTCTAAGGACTCTGTTTTGATCGTCAAGGGCCCTGCTTTTATGCTATTCTTAACCTACGCTTCACCTCCCCGCAGGGACCACGTAACTTAATTTTGTTACCTAAAATAACTTTTCCATTTGAAAAGAACATAACTTTTCCTTTTTTCCATATTTTCTAGAAAATATTGATCGGTTTATAATTTATTTTTGTAGGCAATGGCCGATTCGCGATTTTTTTGGAAATGGTATCCTACAATACCGTCCAAGAAATTTAAAAAATTCTCGTTATCGATCAACCATCCCATTTTTCATCTATTAATCTATAGAAATAACAAATTTGCGTAATCCCCATCGTTACGCGATAATTCGGATTTTTTCAGGCGTATGAGAAACTCGGGGTAAAAATTTCGTCTGCTGGAAAATTCGGTAGTCGAACAACAAGTGGTCCTACAGATTTCGAGAATCTTAAATTCCTTGGTTCCGACTGTGTTGCAGTAGCAAGCGTCGTGGGTGAAACGCTGACTCTGTCGAAAGTAAGCAGAAGCGAGATGGGCACCTACCTGTGCATCGCGAGTAACGGAGTACCACCATCAGTCAGCAAACGGATGACGCTGCACGTGCACTGTGAGTATACGCCCTAATATCGTTTCACCGGATATTTTCACCGGAAAGATCTATCTCGCCCACCCACCGCGCCGAAGATTATCCTTCGCAGCCGAGCGATGGATTCAGCTAATTCCGCTCATCGGGCTCTGGCTTATTTTTAGAGAGAATCTCGCGCCTCTGTACTCGTGCCGCGATTCATCAATGTCCGCGATTATCGATCTAATTAACCCCCGGTCTAATAATAGTCGGGGTCGTATATTTATGACTGTTTAATACCGGATTTAATATAGAATTTAATATGGAGAATTGAATATATACGGGGAAAATCGTGGTCGATGAAATGGGGTTCGCAGGACAATCCTTTATTCGCGTTCTCCACTCGGTAGAGTTTGGTTAGGTCTTTTCGTTTGGTTATCTAATTATCGAATTTCGCATATCCTTGGTGAAATTAAAATTTATTTTTCCTCTTCTCTTTCTCGTTGTTTCTTTTCTTTCCTTTTTTGGTAGGATCTAGTCCTTCGTACTTGAGGCTCTCGGATAGCACTTAATTGGGAAAAATAGAAAGATTCCTTGTCGATATCGACCCTTAGTATCTTCCGTTATTAATCTTCTCGTTATTCCGTTTCAAAGGAAACAAGCGAGATTACTTTGTGCAGATATTTGTAGATATTTTCGACCCTCTGCGCTCCAAGAATTTTGTCATTCGCTAGACTATCAATCTTAGCACACTTTTCTGTGCTGAATTTTCTGGGAGTCAAAATTTATTTCAGAAGAATGAAAGAGAGAATAATATTTCGATAAATGCAGATAATTGATGTTCTATTAGGAATTATTTTAATACGAGCACGACTCGTGCAGCTATATTTTATAAATATAAATATAGATAAGATATAAAATATTCACTGTCTGCACCGGCTCTATTTTCTCTCGAGGCTTAAAGCTTCTTTCTCACTAACGTTTTGAAATATTTATATAATTCCATCGTGCCTGTTTCCTTGACCGATTCCACCTGGTGCTGTAAATTGAGTTACATCACGCGACGAGTACACATTCACACGTGTAATGCATTCACGGCTGTTTTACACATGCCAGCTTTATAACTTGCTTCCTACCGCGATATTCAAAATAGTCGCACTTCGAATTTCGGGTTTGGTACATTGTCACTGACCAATCTCTTTCTTAACGTGACGAATCGCGTGTCGTTATAATTTATACAATAAATACTACGATTACCCTAAACGTTTCATATTTATATAATATAATAGCGTCGTACTATTAATTGTAGATATTTTTAAATAGATTCCCGAATCAATGCGATGTTTGTTTCGAAGCAGGATTTTTCCAGAATTTTTATAGAAATTTTTCAATGCTAAAATGGAACGCGAAATTGAAGAATTTTTAGAAGCACGATAATTGACGATAATTACGCAACTTTTTGAAATACATGGGCGCGTAAATTGACAGGAAAAGAGGGCGGAGTAACGATTACAAGGATCAGCAATTTATTTTTCATCGACTCGGTGTTTTCAGCTGCAAAATGAACGCTTCAAAAAGTGACATGGCGATATAATCGCGTTGGAAACAGTTTCTTCTGGGGTAATACGTGTTGTAGTAATAAAACGATTATTCCCTTGCCCTTTAAAATTACCGTTCACCGTGAGGATCTATTAGAACCCTTTTGTTCAACCCTGGAGCTTTTATTTTCGCGTGATAATGGATTAACCTTTAATCTCTTATCACCCATGCACGCTTTCATGTATCAATTATTTTACACATATGTGTATATATAAAAACCAAGCTATTCGTTGCGTATAAGATATAGAAAACCGTTCATTTAATATAATTAGAGTCATATCATATAATCATAAATATCATAAATATTTCAAAATAACATACAAATTGCATTTTATTATTCATTTCATAATAAATAGGATTACAACATTTTTCCAACGGCATTCGCAATTTTGTCGAACAACGAAAGGTACTTAAGACCATTTAGACATCTCAAAATAATCGTGAATAATTTTAAGTTCGTCAAATTTCTATCGAACACTCCGAAACACTCGATCTTCCAATTCTCGAAACTCCGGAGGAATCGAAGCCTCTGAGAAAATTTCTGAAACTTCCCAAAACCGCGGATACCGTTCTTAACACCGACAATCGCGAGATTGATGCCACCCAATTACGCGTGGGCGTATTCACCCGCGGCTCCTCTGTCCCGAAGAAAGAACCCGCGAGGAGCCGACCTTTGAGGCGTCGGGACAAAGGAATTTCTTAAAATCCAGCGCGCCGCGGAACGAAAAGCGTCATTGACAAAGCGGCGAAATAAAAACAAAGGTGAAGGGAGAGAAATAAAATTGGCCGCGGAAAAGGCAGCGCGTTCCCGCCACTTAGACACGGGGTTTTCCTCGAGATCGCGCAACGCGAATCCAGCGGAAGTGCGCGGTCTTATCCGGCGCGAGGGTGTCTTGAGAATGTCCCGCCTCGGACGCCATCTACAGGGTGTACGAAAATTTTTCATCCTGATTTAGAACGCGATTTTATCGATAAAGGTAAGGACCCGTTATGAATATAGCCGTGAAATTTTCCTTGAGACAATCGATGATTTTCGAAACACCTAAAATTTTTATTACGCTATGCGTGTTTTACTTATGGCGAGAGAAAGATGTGCGAAAGGATCCATGGACCGCGAACGAACCGTTCGATTGAGAAATTAACGGCATATATATTGACCTATTCTACCGAGACACATCGAGTGATCTTATTGAGCAGTATTTATCCAGCATCCAGAAATTTACTCGTCACATGCATCAAGTAAATTTTGGCCACCGGAAAAGTATTGACAGGCCAACCACCAGATATATTCGTGTACAATCGGTCAAAATATTCGCCGTTACTTTTTTCATTCCATATTCATGATTCCTTTACGATACCACGAAAAGAAAAGATAAAATTGACGCTGAGGCTCACATTTGAGCACGACATTTTGATTCCTTTTTCTGACAGATCTTCGTCGACATCGAAGGTGTACGTACGAATCACGCTGTAGGGACACAGAAAATTTTCATACACCCTGTACGCGACGATACCGAGGTAAGAGGACGAGGAACGGAAGGATAAGGGAGGAGAAAAAGGGAAAAATGAAAGTAAAGGGAGAAATAGCACGGTGCAACGAGCGTGCACGGAGATAGCCATCGTCTCCTCCTTTGCATAATTTCAACGTGGCAAAAGGGTAGCCGGTATCTGTATTAGGAAAGAACAAGGAGAAAGAGATGAAGGAGAAGAGACGGTGGAAAGGTGGATACTAAGGGTTGCTTGCGGGCGGCAAAGGGATGGAAAAAAGAAGGCAAAGGCAAAACGCAGCTTAAATAACAGCGCGAGCCGGCGTGCCGCGACGGGAAGGCTAGCATGGAAAAGGGGAAGAAGATAATAAAATTACCCTGGAGACGATATACCGACCAGACTGCTGGCGAGAAACGGAAGAACGCGGATGAAAGTGAGGAGAAATCCGTATGGATGCGAAATTTTCCGATATTATTGTGTAATTGGTCTCGAGAAACACTCGAAATTTCCCGCCATACTTTTTCCCGTACTATAAACACCAAACTTAATCCTTCAGGGTGGTCCATACGAGCTCCTTTCCTCTTCCATCGAACCCCCAGTATCGAAGCTTCGAAACAAACTCGCATGAAGTGTTGCGTCCCGAACACTGCAACTCTCACAATGGGAATTTCACGGGGTTGTAAGGCCCATTTACACGGATACGACAATGTTGCTGGGATGCGGCCTACTCTAAATTAACCCTTTACACTCGACGATTTTTTGGCTAAAGAAGAATAGGAGTTCAAAGATTTTCTGTTACAAAGCTGACGATATTTTCTGAGCAGTGAATAAGAAGTCGTACGACAATTAACACGAAGAATTATTTGATTTATTTGATAGAATTATTTGATACCTCGCACAACGTTATATTATCTGAAATTTGACACATTAATGAATATCGAGCTTCGTAATTTCATCAAATGGCGACTGAAGGGCGCCTCTTGAGCGCAAAGGGTTAATACTAGACCGTCTGGTGGCACCACGTTGGTGTCATGCAAAAACTATCGGGCAAATGCCGATGACACCACGCTGGTATCAGTCCTACCAGCACCAAACGAAAGAATCCTGATTAGACGTGAGGACGACATAGTGTTAATAGAGCTAGACCTGGTTAGGAGAGTCCTGATGCGTGACTGTCTCTCGCGCTGAGTTAATTGTCGTGGGTCTGTCTTGACTGTCTGGTCGTGTTGCTTGTCTTGCCATCGTGGGATTTTTAGACACTGCTGTCTCGGTGATTTTACAAGTTTTGTATGTCTACTAATTGATCAATGTGAAATGTCAGTGGTGGGTGTGTCTTCCTATTAGTTATGAATAACATTGAGGATGTGTGTTAGCTTCGACGTCTTTCGATGATGGTGGATGTTTAAACAATTTGAGTCCTTATGCCTATCGTCTCATAGGTGATTTATCGATCCTTGCTAAGGTTCACCCAAGTGGTGACTAAGTGATAACGAGTGTATACGAATCCTGGCAATAAGGACATAAACAGTACTCCACTTAACTTGGGACGTTCGGTCCTGGGTCCGCAACATGAACCATAATCCGCGAACATGAACCCAAAGAGTCTCATACAGGTACTCAAAGCACTCCTCGCAAGTGGTTAAACGGTTAAACGTTCCAAAAACCGCGAATGTGAAATGAAAAAGAGAAACAGACAAAGTCGCAACGAGGAGGAGCCTAAAATGAAACTCGACGAGTGGCAGAGCAACACGTGCGGAGTGACAAGCGCGTTGTGAGCGTGGAAGAAAAATAGAAAAAGAGAGGAGAGACACAGAAGGAGAGCTAGAAAGAAGGGTCGCGGCGCGTAAGCGAAGGGGTTGAAAGGCGTATAGGGGTGCAGCGTTAAGTCGCGGTTAGGACTGCGTTGCCAGTGTCTTAGAGCCGACAGAGTGGTAATTCTTCGGCGGAAATTGGAT